TACTGGGAATGGCCCCTGGGGACACAGTGTGACCTCTGACCCCTGTGTGACCCCTGGCTGACCTCTGACCCCTGGCTGACCCCTCAGGAGCAGCGCAGCCTGACGCTGAAGCTGGGGGGACACTGAGTGACCCCTGTGTGACCCCTGACCCCTGTGTGACCCCTGACCCCTGTGTGACCCCGCAGGAGCAGCGCAGCCTGACGCTGAGGGGACACTGAGTGACCCCTGTGTGACCCCTGACCCCTGTGTGACCCCTGACCCCTGTGTGACCCCGCAGGAGCAGCGCAGCCTGACGCTGAAGCTGAGGAAGAGGAAGCCGGACAAGAAGGTCGAGTGGTCGAGTGACACGGTGGACAACGAGCACCTGGGCCGCCGCTCCTCCAAGTGTGAGCGCCGCGGGCCCAGAACGGACCCAAATCCACCCCAAATCTGCCCAAAACTGGCCCCAAAACCGACCAAAACTGGCCCCAAAATCTGCCCAAAAATGGACCAAAAACTGACTAAAAATGGCCCCAAAATCTGCCCAAAACAGCCCAAAACTGGCCCCAAAATCTGCCCAAAAATGGACCAAAAACGGACTAAAAATGGCCCCAAAATCTGCCCAAAACGGCCCGAAAATGGACCAAAAACGGCCCCAAAATCTGCCAAAAAATGGACCAAAAACGGACTGAAAATGGCCCCAAAATCTGCCCAAAACGGCCCAAAAATGGCCCCAAAATCTGCCCAAAACGGCCCCAAAATCCACCCAGAAATGGCCCAAAAACGGCCCAAAAAACAGCCTCAAAATCCACCCCAAAATGGCCCAAAACCAGCCCCAAAATCTGCCCAAAAATGGCCCCAAACCCGCCCAAAAACGTCCCAAAACCAGCCCCAAAATGGCCCAAAAATATCCCAGAAATATCTGCCAGAACGGTCCAAAATTAACCCAAAAATGGCTCAAAAATATGTGCCAGAATAATCCAAAAACGGCCCTAAAGTAGCCCCAAAGTGGCCCAAAAATATCCTGAAAATCTCTGCCGGAATGACCCAAAAATTAACCCAAAATTGGCCCAAAAAATAGCCCAAAAATTGACCAAAAATACCTCCCAAGATAACCCAGAAATGGCCCAAAAACAACGCAAAAACACCCCCCAAAACTGCCCAAAGCCCCCCAAATTTCACTGAAATCCTCCCAAATCTCCCCAAAATGCCCCCAAATCCTCCAAACTCCCCAAATCTCCCCCAAATCCCTCCAAATTTCACCCAAACCCCCCCA